GCATCACAACAGCCCAGCACTGCCTACCTGAATTTTCACATGAGAGAGAAACAAAATTCTGTGTAACTTAAGCATTGCTATTTGAGTTATCCATTACTTCCAGCTGAACCTAACCTTTGCTTACATGTACGTCTCCCCCACCACCACAAAGTAAAGGAACTATGCTTTATCAACTACTGCATAGCACCGTGCCTGAAATATGATGGTGCCCACAAGTGTTTAGTGAGTAGATGTATGAATGAGAGAATGAATGAAAAGCTAAAAAACTAGAGGAAAGCCCCAGGGGGAATAGAAAGAAGACATTGTGCCAGTGAGGCGGGTGTCTTCTACTTTAGTTTCAGCTTAAGGCTACATAAATTCTGTATTAATAAGCATTTACTTCATGCCAGGCACAGTGTCGAGTGATGCTTTTATAGTGGTGAAAAAAGCAGACAAAACTTTCTGCTGTTAGATGATTGTAGATGGACAGGCATAACAAATGAACATCCAGGTAGTGCTAAATGCCACGATGTAAATAAAACTGCTTAATGTAATGAGCTACTCTAGAGTGGGTGGTGAAGGAGGGTCGCTGAGAGGGTAGCATTTATGCTGAGACCTGCCGGATAAGAAGTTTAGATCAAAGAGGAGGGCACTGGGGGCAGAGCAACAGCTAGTGCAAAGGCCCTGAGGAGTGATTCACTTGGCTTATTTCAAAGAGGAAGAGGCAAGTGAGATTATAGAGAGTGAGGGTGAGTGGTAAGGAGGGAGAGTTCAGGACCTGTGTGCCAAGCAAGGAGTTGAATGTTATTCCAAAAGCAATGGAAGCCACGGAGCCTTTAAGCTAAGATGGGCATGTTCTGATCCTTTAAATACAGTTCCTCATGTTGTGACCCAACCATAAAATTATTTTCGTTGCTAATTCATAACTGTAATGTTTCAGTTATCTATGGCTGTGTAGCAATCAACAAGCAAAACTTAGGGTCTTAAAATAACCATTAGTCTGCTATCTTATGCATCATGAATTCTGGGAAGGACTCAACTGGCAGTTCATCTCCTGTTCACAGACATCAGCTTGCGAGGCAGCTGGGACTGGAGGATCCACTGCCAAGATGGTCTCTTCACACATGTGTGATGCCCAGGTGCTCCCTGGCCTTTCTCTTTTTTCTTTCTTTTTAAAATATATTTTTATTGATTTCAGAGAGGAAGGGAGAGGGAGAGAGAGATAGAAACATCAATGATGAGAGAAAATCATGGATCAGCCGCCTCCTGCATGCCCCCTACTGGGATCAAGCCTGCAACCCAGGCATGTGCCCTGACTGGGAATTGAACCGTGACCTCCTGGTTCATAGGTCGACGCTCAACCACTGAGCCACACCAGCGAGGTCCTGGTCTTTCTCTTTCTTCACATGGCACCTCATCCTCAAGGGCCTGTTTGAGTGGTGTGGGTTTCTTAGAGAGGGCTGGTAGCAGGGGAGCTGTACTTCTTACACGGAAGCTCTTTTCAGAGAGAGAGAGAGAGAGAGAGAGAGAGAGAGAGAGAGAGAGAGAGAAGAGAGAGAGAGAGAGAGAGAGAGAGAGAGAGAGAGAGGAGAGAGAGAGAGAGAGAGAGAGAGAGAGAGAGTAGGAGCTCCTAGCCCATGCTACATTGGGAACTGGCACCACACGGCAGCACTTCTCAGATACTCATTGATTCGAGCAGTCAGAGAGCCCACCCACATCCAAGAGGGTGGAGAACTAAACCCCACCTATTGATGCAACAGGGTCACATTGCAGAAAGGCATGTGGGATGGAAGACATTATTGCCACCACCTTTGGAAAATACAATATGCCACAGGTGAGGAGGCCATTTCAGTAATGCAGGCAAGAGATGATGGTGGCTTAGATTTGGTCGTAAGAAAGGTGCTGATTCAGAATATATAAGCAGAATATGTGGAAACTATAAAGCACTAACAAATGCATCTGAGTGTTTGTGTAATTTTATAAAATTACATGGGTGAGTGTTGCCCACCACCAATAAAATAAGTCACAAATAAAGCTGTTCTATTCATAGGACACATACATCATTGTCATGCTTTACAATGTGCTTTGTTTGAAGAATGAGTTATTTAGGGCAGGGGCTTAGTGAGGCCCAGCTATCAGGGCTATACAGGGAGATGAACTTATGGACCTACTGACTGTGAGATCCAGGGATTGCCACGTCCTATAACCAGAGGTGTTTTAGAGAGTAAAGAGGGCTATCGACGTTACATTTTCAAAGGCTTCATCGAGATGAGTTCCTTTGCCCACAGAAAGGCCTGAGCAGTTTCACTTCATACATTCAACTGCTTACGGAGATGAAGTTTTCAATGTGCAGAAATCAGCGCATCAAAGAGAATATATGAAAAACAATGCTTTGAGTGGCAAAAATGCTGGGGGCTATTGTTCCATTTTAAAACAGGAGAGAACGATCCAGAAACTTGCCCAGAGTCACCCAGTAAATTAATGGCAGAGCTGGTGTGAAAAGACATATCTCTGGATGCCAATCCGGGATCCTGTCACTGCATCACCTGCCCCTCTGAGCAGAACACGGCTTTGTTCTGTACCGTGGTCCTGCTGGACCCTTGCTATTGCTCAGTGACTTTCAAATACTGCCAGATGGCAGGAGAGGAGGTTGTGAACAAACCAAGTCTGGTCTCTCTCAGAAAAATAACTGAAATATGCTTTGCTAATTTTGACCCAGACACACCTCTTTGTGGAGTAGACAGCACACGCATTTATGTGAAAATCTTCATGGTTTGACTACTTACCATACTTCTAAATGTCCAATTGAATATTTCTTAAAATTCACTAAATTCCTAAGACTCTGAGGTCATTTTTTAACTCTTATGGAGATGAGTTCTTACATCTCTATCCAAAAAAAACAAAACAAACAAAAAAACACACAAACAGAAACCCACCAGGGTCTTTTGGATTGGGAAGTGGGAACAGCACACCACCTTCACTGTGTGCGGAGTGGGACGTATATATTACGATGAATATTTATATGTGTAACTGCCATTTCATATGCAGATGCATGGGTTTTTATTTTGTTTTCTCAGTATCTGCAGGAGGCAGAGCTCCATGCTGGACCTAGATAAAAGTTGTATGTTCTAAATCACATAATTTCATTCTCAACTTCTATGACTTTCTTTACTTTTTTCTATAGCCAAAAAAATAGACATAATTTGCATCCATTCATTTTTTTATTAATTGAGCAATCTTATTTAAATAGAAACAGTGGTTATGCAGTACTCTTATTGCATTTACTACAATAAGATTAATGACCCAATGATCCAGTTTTCCCATGCCAGATTTTGTTTCACATTTGAGCTTATTTGGACAGATATCACCTCCCTACACACTTAAAAGATCTATAATTTATCATTCCTTGATCTCTGTGTATGAAGTACTTTGCTAGGCACTAGTGTTGGAGGAAAATAACTCAGGATTGGCGCCTGGGAATCTGTAAATCTTACCAATGAATTTAGATGTCTGTTCAACACGACTGCACCTCAAAAACCTCACACCTTTATTATGTTTCACATATTATATTGCACTGACAAGTTTAACTGCATCCAAGACTGAACCAGGTGGTGTTTAAATTCCCAAATACCTTACATTTGAATGCCTCAGGCAAGAAACACTGACTACGCATAGGCACAGATTATAATATTTCAGGCGAGACATTGTCAAAATCAGAAGAGTGAAGGCCTTTGCCCATAAATTTTACCAACACATTTATGTTAACCTTTACACATTTCAGTAAGGCTTTAAAACCAGTGCCAAGGCATTGCTTTTCTGTAGGTCTTCATTAAAGCATCAAAATTAAACTATTTTGAAAAATCACCATTATAGGACCCTGGGAACTGTCCCCCTCCTCCCCTTTGAAAGCACTTTCTCTTATTGCCTAAAAATTCAAGTACTCTCTTAACCAAGTGCAGGCTGAAATATTTTACTGTGCATTTGAACAGGAGCCAAGAGGGTCGATGAAAGGAAAACTTCTCTCTATAAAAGGTTTATTGTCAGCGCTTTCTAAAGATGTAGGTTCTTCTAAAACAGGCTACCAACATTTTCACAAACATTGACGCAGCCTTCTCAACCTCTCCTAGACCTATGATTCAGGTCCTTTTCTTTCAGGAAACCTCTGCAGCTAGCCTTTGACCTTCTGGATAGCCAACTCTATCAACTGCTTCTGCCTCCATCGATATAATGTATATTATAAGAAGGAAAGGGGGATGGGGCAGCTTGGTCCTCATGCTAGTGGAAAAGTACTTCAAATTCCTTGCATTCCTTTGCATTTAGCAGCATGTTTACCTAATCACCAGCTTATTAGGATTAGCACAAGTCATTGCTTCGAGCTTATTCAATAAAAACAAACGGACTCCTATAGACTCAAAGGTGTTTTTTTTTCCCTCTGATCCCAACCGAGGGCGAATTTTTAAGTAGTTTTTGAAACAATATTGGTGAAATATGAAGTTATAAACAAGCCATCTTTTATAACACATTATCCAACCAGACTTAATCTTACCCAAGTGTAGATATGTACAAGCTATGGACTGCTTTCATTAAAGTTTCTCTCTCCTAAAGTGACATGCACAATAACCTGGTGATTAAAATGATAAATTACTGTACCCACCTCACAGTGACTGGGTGAGGGAGACCCCTGGGCTTTGATTTCTTATAAAAACAATGCATTATTATTTAAATCACAAAGTTGGCTTTGGATGATTCCTTCTTGTGCTTCTTACAATGCCTGGTGTTCAATACATTTTTTTTAATGCAGATTATTTTAAATGCAAGGATCTTTCTCTACTGAAGATATAAAAGCAATCATTGTTTTATTTTTGTAGGTCATTTCCCTGTTCTATCCCAAGCACTAGAACAGATCCTGGCACAAAGCAGACACTCAATAAATCCGGTTTGAATGATTGAGTGGATAAGCTAGATTGCTTCCAATGACTTTGGACAATCTCTAAAAATATGGAATGCCATACACTCAGATATTAGGTAAATATTTCTTTATTAAATGATTAATTCCATAAATAAATTCTTTTCACTGAATATAAAATTAAAATCATTTACAAATTATTCCAGTATTACATTTCCCCGCCCTCCCCGAAAGCTACATTTTGATAAATAAAAACATTCAGTTTTAAAAACACCTGATTTCTGTTTGCAGTTTAGAGTGCAGATAGCTGCCTCTCACGGACACTCACAGAGTGTCCCCTTCAGGAAGGAGTGGAACCCCCTCCCGTGTACTTCTGTCAAAGGATGAAGGCTTTAACTGTCCAACTAATCTTACTATCTTACAATTGCAGAACCGAAAGGAAAGAAGCCTAGAGAAAAATACGCTTACCAAATAATTTACAAACAGAAAACAGAACGTCATCAACACCTCAAGCTCCAAAATGAAGCAGTAACATGTGCTCCAATATTATGAAGCAAAGTATTCTCCAATTGCGGCTGCATTAGAGTCCATCTGCACCAGCACACCTGGCAGTTTCAAAATACCTTAATACTACTCAAGAATGAGCAAATGCATCCCTTCTACAATGAGTCCCTTCACCCCCACCGCCCCCACCCATGCCTCCATGACTCCGGCACTCTTCTCCCGCTCTGTCCACCCTTGTGCTGGAAACCCAGGTGGCATTTAGTCCCTAAATTTGTGAATGTCATTGAACAGCCTGTAGAAGGGAAAGGCGGCCTCACTGGCATGCGGGCAGTTGTAGTTGCACTTGCAGGACTGGATCATCATGACGTTCTTGGAGAACATCTCCCCGTCTTCACAACGGAAGCGCATCTTCACCGTCCTGGTCTGCTGGGGCGTGCAGCAGCGGCCATCCACGCAGGAACCGCAGTACTTGGGCCGGTATTTCTTCACACTTGAACATCCGGCATAAGTAAACTTGACCGGTTCCGGGGATTTCTTGGTCTTGCTGCATTTCTTGCCCTTCTGTAAGAAAGCCGAGAGAAGGAAAGTTAGGGGCAAGGGTTCTTTCTTGGAAGAGAGGCTCCCATCTCACCCAGCTGCCCAGGAACAGGTACCTGCCACGCAGAAACTTACTTTCAGGCTGCTGTACATCGGCTGTCCACAAGGCCGCACCTCACAGATCCGGGTTTCTTTCACCAGGCGGCATTCAGGGTTGTCATTGGTAACTCGTGTGGAGATACCAGTTCCACAGGTCTTAGAGCACTGAGACCATGAAGTTGTTTGGACGATACATTTCTGGCCGTGTAGAGAAGGGTTGTATAGGATGCGAGGGCCCTGTCCAAAAGCTAGCGAGACAAACAAGAGGGAAGACTTCTCAGAGGCTTACTGAACAAACAGATTCAAGTCCTCGTTTCTATAAAGCTTCAAACTAGGAATGTATTTCAGTCCCAGGCCTTAGGGGCTCAGTTTTAACTTACCAGGGAGCCGCTTCAGGAAGCCACCTTTTCCAAATGCAATTAACTCGTTGTTTCTCGTTAACTCCACCTCGGAGGCATCGAATGTGGGCCCCTTGCCCAGGAGGTCGTCCCCGTCCTCCATGGGGTCCTTGGCACCATCCTCGTCACAGACCCACTCCTCACAGCACTGCCCGTTAACTTTGACCAGTCGGGGGTTGGGACAGCCCAAGTTGGGGAGAGAAAGTTCTTGGGGACACAGAGGAATGCAGCCCACGGCGCCGTCGATACATGTGCACTGATGTTTACAGTTGGGCTGGAAACTTTCCCCATTCTGGTAGATTCTGGAGTTATATTCGCAGGGTCTGCCCTCTGACTGAGCTGCGAAGAGCACCAAAAGAGAAAGGGAGAAGAGGATCAAGTTAAGAGTCCGAACCACGGCCTGAAACTCATACACATTTCTGCTGTTAAATTCAATTTATGGTAAAGTTCCCTACAATTCCCCGGAGACTGCAGACCAGAACAATAAGTTAGTCAGGAATCACTTTTCCGTATGCGCTTTTCGTTGGGCCCAGACACACTGAATTGCATTCCAGACTGCTGAAATCATGTGCCTTTCTGCCAAGCTACCAACAACAAAGCATCACCATACATGGTCTCAAAATTACTAAACTTCTGGACTACGGGGACTATTATTTTTTTAAAGGGGCCAAACCACAAGCATCTTACCTCTGCAGATCCCCTTCAGAGCGGTGGAGCTGGCGCCGAAGTTGCATTCCAGCCCCTTGGTGTGGTCGCAGGGCTGCATTTTGCTGCAGTCCTCGTTGAGCTGCTTGGCGCAGACCTTACAGCAGCCACAGCCGTCCCGGACCAGCCCGACTCCCGGGGCGCACTTGGGCGCCTCCAGGGGGCAGTCGCAGGCGGCGGGGCAGGAGAGCGCCTGGAGGGGGGAGAAGACTCGCGTGAGACCCGGCGCGGTGAGCAGGAGGGGCGCCCAGGGAAGGGACGGGGGTCTCCGATCCGGTCAGCCGGCCGGGTCACCCCGGGCAGGGCTGCGTCGGCCAGGAGGCCCCAGACACCTCTTTACGGGGAAACTTAAAGAAAGAGGTACCCGAAACGTCCCCGAACTTTTTTAGTTTAGTTTTTCTGTGCCGTGGGCAGCCTGGGGAGAGGACGAGGGGCTGGGAGAGCGGACAGGGAAGCGGAGGCAGCGGAACTCACCAGCCGGGCAAACTGGAGGAGGGTGACGGCGGTGAAGAGCGTCCTGGCCGTGCGGGAGCTCATGGTGGCGCGCAGGAGTCCCGGCGAGCGCGGAAGCAAAGACGCCAACACACCGGTGCGCAGCGGGCGGACCGCGGCGGGGTCGGGCGGCGCGGAGGCGAGGGCCGGCGGCGAGAGGCTGCGGGCAGTACCTTCTGTCGAGGTCCTTCCGAGCGGAGCGGGGGGCGCGGGTGATTCTCCGAGGGTCTGTTTCGCTCGCGGTCTGTCCCAGCGCGCAGAACCCCCCTTTTATATGGGCCCGCGGCGCCGCGTGTTGCAGTGACGTCGGCTCTGTCTGTGCCTTCCAGAATTCTCAAACATCTCAGGAATGCTCGCTGGCGCGGGCTGCTGCCAAGCGCCTCCCCTGGCTCCGTTGCACCTTTTTTTTTTTTTTTTTTTTGGTCCGCGACCCAAGAAAACAATCTTCCGTTTTTCCACTTTAAATAACGACTTGTATAGGGGAGGGCTCTTTTGGGCGTGATGATGGTGGAAGGAGGGGGGGTGGGGGTGGGAGTAGGGGGGAAAGTTCAGAACTTTGTCTGGACTGGGAGGGTAGGAGGACCTGAGAGGGAGGAACAAAAGTCGTGTTGTTTGGTGATGCCGAGTTGACCGGGCAGCCTTGGAAACCCTCACCCGGGAAGGCGGTGAGCTGTTTGCTTGTTTACAGCGAAGGTGAGAGTCAAGTTATCTATTGAGAGAGGCGGAGGGGGGAGGGGGAGTGTATCTCTGAGCCCGGCATCTACTTGTGGACTTCGTAGAGGCGACATGCTCGGGTAAAGTCCCTGAGCTTTGGCATGGTGTTTATTAGCAAAGTTAAGTGTGTTGCAAATTAATACCCGCAGTGCCATTTATGAATGAGAAAGTGGGGGTGGGGTGGGAATCAACTTCTCCCACGTCTGGCAAGGTTCCAAGCAGAGGTCTTCCCTCTTCCGCCCCCCTTGCCCTCCCTTTTTCGGTATGTCGTACTTGTTTGTTTTTGGAGATTCCCACTTTAGTTCCAGCCCACTGCCTGGGGTTGCAGTCCGAGAGGAAATGAAGGCTGGGAGTTCTCCGGGCGGCTGGCTGACACTTCCTCACGGATGCGGGAGCCTGGGCAGGCGCTTCCAGCCTCCCTCCGCGGGCGGGTGGCGATGCGCACTGAGCAGCCAGCCAAGCCCAAGCGGAGGGGACCACCGTGGAGTGATTTATACGGAGATCATCACCTGTATGTGCTGGAAGGCCAAACCAGATTCCACCACCATTGCGCCCAATGGGTCTCTGGAAAAAGCAGACTCCTTAAAAGCCGAAAGTCTTGCGGGATTTTTAATTCCTTTCCTTGGAACCACTTAGAAACCTCTCATTGCAAGGGAATTGCAATGCTCTTCTCTCCAAGCGCAGAGAAATACGAGTTTAGGGTGTGATACTCTGTTATAAAAAGGTTAGCAGATTTGAAGACCCTATTTACCTGCAACGCACTCAGCAGAAGACCCGCCTGCCAAGCAATTACTTCAGCAGCATCCACATCGTTAGTGTGACGGATAAACTTTCCCTCAAAGTTTCTAAAATATCTCCTTGTGCAATTTTAATAAAAACATGCACAAAAAATTATGTCAGTCTCCCCTTTATATGCGTTTTAGTAGAGCTGCCTGTCTCTTTTGCTCTTTTGTCCTTTTTAATGTTGAATGGAATTCAACAGTCTGGCTGAAGAAGGCCTTTTTTCAGTGCTGACTTTTCTGTGACTGAAACGCACATGTGAAGCTATTGCAATGAAAACAACCTCCAATGAGGAGAACTACCAGGGAGGAGTTAAGTTTCATTCATTCAGGAGTGCCTTCTCATAATTCTAAGAGGCTTTTGCTAGGGGAAGCTGATCTCTAAGGCTTTTTGGAGGGGCGTGTCTCTTCAGGACAATAGATTGTCAGGTGTTATGCAACTAAAGTGAGGAAAGTCTGGGCCCGGCATTGCACCCAGGTCAATCCATCAATTATTGTTTAGAAAAATGTTTTTTCCCGTGTTAGAGTTTTATTGCTGTTTCCTTCTTACTGAAGTGACTGGGACCAGAGTGAGTAGGGGCGGTACAGGGTGGAGGAGGTGGTGGAAAGAGAATGGGTGCAGAGGAGTGTCCCTGGCTTCTGTTGTGGTGTCTTTTCTATTTGACTTCATGGTTGTAAGTATTTCCAGATGGTGAATCAGACACCAGACGTAACAATATTTCCATATTTGGGTATAGCAGTAGCCTGCGTTTTTAACATTTTTCTGCCTGTTATCCAACCACAAAGCATTCTTGACAGCTTCAGATGTTGTTAAATATAGACTTAACTTCTGTTCCCAGAGCAGGAAATTCTTTGGAATTCCTTGTTTTCCACGCAATCTGTCTGTCATGATTTAAAATAAAATTTCAGTGGGTGATCCAACTGGCCTGTGCCTATACCTTGTTCCTTTATCGAAGAGGGGGTGGGGTCCGCGCAAAGAGATTCAGTGTGCTGCTTTGCAAGGGCTTTGCATTCAAACACGCACCATTCCAGGGATTCCTTTAAAAATCAGATTCAAGTTTTCTAACACGGGTGTGTGTGTTTGTTTCCTCTTTAACTAGGGGATCTTGGAGGAGGATTTTCAATCAGGAGACACTCAGCTCACCTTACAGTCCGCTGCCTATGTAAAGCAGGACATGTGTTGTGGGAGGGGGTGTGGGGAGCGGTAGCAAACAGGGCCGGGAGGTGGAGGAGCTGAGCGACCCGAGTAACCTGCGTGCCCAGCCTTCCCATGGACTACGTCGCGGTGTGTCGGCTAGTAAACCAGGCGCCAGGCGAGAGGAACAGCGGCTCCCCGGGTCCTGCTCAAGACCATCCAGACACCCCAGACGCCCGGTCGCCTCCTCGCCGCCTCTGCAGATCGGTTCGCCTTGACCGAATGGAGGGGACGTGTGCAAATGCTTATGCGTAGGTGTTGCTCCGGTGCTAATGCTGCATGGCTCTTTTGCTCTATTCCTTCGCCCCTCCCCATAGGGGTGCTCCTCGGGGGGAATAAGGGGCCGCCTTGTTCTCTTGGGCTACAAAGCTCGGAGAAGGAGCTGGCACCCCGGCTGCCAGGGAATTTTAGGTCACCCAGAGAAGGGTTCACTGTCTGGCGGCGATTGAGAATAATAATCACCTTAAACCTGGTGCCTCCGCTTTCCTAGCCCTGCACCAGTGGTTTTCAAAGGTATGCATCTGAGACTCCCCTGGAGAGGGGGTTAAAAGAGTGATTGCTGGGCCCCATCCCGGGATTTCTCATTAGTTCCCTCTCTAACGAGTCCGTAGGTCCTGATGCGGCGGCTGGTGCGGGGAGCCGCACACTGAGAACCACTGCCTGGGGCCACCTGGGACTCACCTGCACACCCAGCCTCACGCCTCAAAGAGCAGGACACCTTAGGGCCGTGGTTCTCAACCTTCCTAATGCCGCGACCCTTTAATACAGTTCCTCATGTTGTGGTGACCCCCAACCATAAAATTATTTTCGTTGCTACTTCATATCTGTAATTTTGCTACTGTTATGAATCGTAATGTAAATATCTGATATGCAGGATGTATTTTCATTGTTACAAATTGAACATAATTAAAGCATAGTGATTAATCACAAAAACAATATGTAATTATATATGTGTTTTCCGATGGTCTTAGGCGACCCCTGTGAAAGGGTCGTTCTACCACCAAAGGGGTCACGACC